TCTGGACGCCTACATTACATGATGTTTATATTTCGAATAGTATTAATAGTTAGTCTTATCGTTTGATTATTCAGACTCACACTGACGCTACAACTATGATAAATTAAATGTTAGTGAAACCTGATTACGAAAATCACGTGAAATTATATAAAATACATCCGTGCGTCCAAGAGGATAAAGTCGCTGTTAGAACTCACGCGTCCTCAATGTTAAATGATTCAAACTTTGTTATTTTTCAAGATAACTATTAGGTCTCGATCTACGGTTCCTCAGAAAAGTTTTTTACCTTCGTGACGAGTGAAGTACAATGTAGAGAGAAAGAAATAATTTTGGAATTCAAGGTCAAGGTCAATCTCGCGACAGGTTCTTTACATGTGTTTCCATCACATCGAAGGTATAGGACTCATCCGTTCCGTTCGATCAGGTCGATAACGCGAGCCACGAAAACGCAAACAATACGGGCACGTTTTCCGCGCCGGAAACGCACATGTGGAAAAATAAGCCTGTCATCGAGAAAACAGAGTGCTGCCATGGGTATCATGCGGCCACGCGTCAAGGTTGTGCAAGTTCGAATTCGCGCCGTGCTGTCGACGAACGTGCCCGGCAAAACAAACGGACCTCTTGTTCGATTTTAATCCTCGGAAGCCCGAAGCTCGCAATCCCGTGCCGGAGTCATTTCTGACTCACACGGATTCCACTAATATACATATTTAGATCGCTCGAGCGGCTCACCGATACTGTACTAAACAGAGACTCGAGACCGAGGTCCTCACCGATATTGTACCAATACAGACAACCGACTCATATAGGAATATGTAGGAGCATATAGGAACAAATAATCACACGAATAATAATGTTATATTTATTTATATTTATACATTGACAAGAGACAATCGCTGTATCCTTGCTAGGTTCAATACGTTGCCAATTACGTTCAAATTCCTGGTTTTCTGGAACCACATTATCCACAGTTTCTGATATATTGTCTTATTGCATTTCGGGTTCAGCGTCACTATTTGATACACTTCCGTTGTCTTGATGATTGTTCATTGTCAGAAACGTCTTGTGCAAATTCAGCGAAAGAAGACGAAGAAAGATTGCTCGTTGGTAATGAAGACATTACGTCAACAAATGGAAACAAATATAAACAGCAAAAGAAAGTAATAAAAAGAACAAAAATAATAGTAAAAACAGTAAATTAATAATAAAAAATAGTAAAATATTGAAATAGTGCTGAAAACTAAAATCTAAATAGTAAATACAAAAATAATATAAAATACTAAATACTAAAAACAAAAATGGTACAGACTATTAAATACTAAATACCAAAGTACAACGCTAAAATACTAAAACAATAATAAAAATATAAAATAAACTTTGAAGTTCAACACTCCTCAGAGCATTACCAGAAATTGATTTCTTTCGTCTTTTGTCTTCAGTCTTCGTTACTTTGACACGTGTCAGTCACATGACGTTCGTGTGTTAGTGCGATCAGATTTCAATTATTAACGCAAGCAGCGCCTATTATCACTGTACGCGTTATTGCACTCGAGTAGCTCTCAATACGGGTTAAAAATGACTCCGGCACGGCAGTCAGAGAGTTAAACGTTCCACGAGATTTCACAGCTCTTATCTCGACAGCGTGTCCCAGCGTGACAACGCGCAGAAAGGCGACGAATAATCCGACGAGATTAAAAGCCGAAGACTAATCGCGCGGATAACGGGATCCCTCCTTCTTCCAATTTAACGTTTCCAATTCGGTTCTCGGGTTGAGTCGGCGTCGCCAACCAGGGGCACCGAAAAGAAAGAATTATTAGATCGATAAATTCCACGGAGGGGGAAGGGAAGAGCGGGGAATTTATCGCGTAGCCGCGTGCGAAGAATGCACGGTAGGATAATGAGCGCGTTTGCATCCGGCGAACGGCGTCTTGGAGCACGTTTTTCCGGATCACCGCCGCTTCAGGCGTCGACGCTCGTCGCCCGGAATATTATTTCCATTTTGCCGGCGCTCGGAACACGTGCGACAACGACGACGACAAACGCTCTGCGATCCGGCCAGCCGGAAGTAATTTCTTCTGTCTCGATGTTCGCCCGGGGACGCGCTCACTGCCTTCTCCGAGACAACCGAACGCAGATGTCGTTCCATTTCTCGTCGATACCTGTCGTTTTTCCACGTTTCCCTGCTGCTGCTGCTGCTGCCATCTCGACCTACGATCGCTACGAATCGACCGGAACGAAGTAACGAAAATGGACAAATTGAATTACAAAAGAAACGATCGGTGTACTTGCTTTTGTCTCGCTCGACGTCGATTTTTATGTCGAACGTTGCAGATAGCTTTGGAAACTGACCTGGCTGGGTACACTGTTCTAACAATAAAGGTAAACTTCCAGTGGTTTGTTCGGTTGTCGATTGTCTTTGCTTGCAACTCGGATGCTGCTAATAGCGGCGGAAGCGATACTAGCTCGATCGGGAAACGGCAAACTACGCCCGAGCTGGCTGAACAAACGGATTATACGAGCTGGAATGACGAGGTTCGCCCCTCGAGCGTTGATGGAAACGGGCGGCGAACAAAGCACGGGGAGCCAAGAATCGTCAGACTTGGCCGATGATGGAGGGCAATACCGGAGATTTCAAGACCATAGAGACCTCCATAGAGAGATAAGAGGAGGCTACGGTCGAACGCTCGTAGCGCGAACGTTCCGATGATGAAATATTGTGGCAGAAGCATGGCGGAAGGCTTGAAATCACAGAGCAGAGCCCGGTCATCCGTTTGAGCTGGACAGGTGAAGCGAATATTAGAGCGCGGCTCTAGCCTCGGGGCACGCGGTGTCCCGGTTGGAACGAGAGGTATATCGAATAATAGTACATAGCCGATAGATCTTGGAGAGAGGGATAAGGAGATCCCGTAGCAACAGACCGTAAATGGGGCTAGAATCATGCGATAGTAGCCCGGTCTGACAGTCTCCCGCGGAGTGAGGGAACTTGGATACCCAACTAGCTTTATTATAACCTGAGACAACGTTCGCAATAAACGCGAACGATCTCTCTGTTATCCGCGAAATTAACGTTTCGCTCTTCCAAATTATTCCGAGTTATACAATTGTTTCGAGCGTGCTACGTGACAACAATGAGGCGTCGACAAAGCGTAAATAACGCGTTGAACAGGAGCAAGGTCGGTACACAACGCGGTTGATAATTAATGCATGATGACGGGACTCGAGTCTAGTCCTCGGATAATCGGCCCCGGTAAGCAAGGTTGTTCCCCCCGTCCTGCAAAGGGTGGTTCATCGCGCGATCGATCCGCCGAAATCAGCAACGGGTTCGAGCATTACCGGACAAACGAAATTTCCCCCTTTATGTTGGCACGCGAATCGCATCCCCGAGGACAATGGCCGCGCGCACAAAGCGCCGCGCGAAAAACTGTTTTGTCAGGCGCTGATTAAATCCGTTTTCAGACCGACCGATCGATTCCCATAGTTTTACGAGGAACTCGGAGCTCTTTTGTTTCGCCGAACGTTGTCGAACGAGTTCGAACGATCGAAAATCGCGACGAGGCGACGTGTCCAGGTGTTTGGGAAGAAGGTAGAAACACCTCGAGGTGGTTGGCTCGTTTGAAAAATAGCTCGTCGAAGATCAACGCTCGTTAGATAAAAAGGCTCGTCTTTTATTTTGCCGATAGAAGTTAAAACGAAGGGCGTATCACGAACGTTCGGCTCGTGCGCCGGAAGTTCGCTCGCCGAGGGTAGACAAGGGTGAAGCGCGGTGGTAAGAAGAAAAGTTAGCAGCTTCGTGACCAGTTTCTCGGATAGTCCACGGTTTCACCGATCGCCAGCCGGTTGCCAATTAGAACTTGGAACATCCCGCGTGAATCCGCTAATCCTATTCGACCAGGTCGATCATATCTGCGAATTCTGCTCTGTCTATTTACCCATCTATTAGGTTGGCCAACAAGTCCAGCAGTTGATTGTAGGCGTTGAAAAATTAGCAAGTGAACCGAGCTCGATCTTGGAGATCGTTCGTTGATTTAAAAATGGAAAATCGAAACGAGTATATTTTCGCCATGTTTCGTTGTTTTATTTCGAGAAAGGAAGAAATGTGACGCTTTACTTTACTTAAGATACTTTATCAGAACGAACGTGCCAAAAATGGTTTGCCAAATTTCGTTTTGGTGACTTGAGCGTTAAACCACGCTTAGAGAGGCCAGTGGAGATCGATAGCGACAAAATGAAATTGTTAGTCGATGTAAATCGTTTAAAGACACTCGGGTATGTGAGTAAACTAGCTGTTTGGACCAACTAAACGAAAGTAAAGTAACTCATCTGGTTAAACGTTATATATTATCATGTTCGATTCATCTTTGAAACGTACGATAACAGGCGGTGAAAAATGAAGCAAATGTGACGAACCGGTCGAAAGCAGAAGTCAAAAACAGAAATTTATCAAAAAAAAGGTTATGTTCTCAATATGATGAAATTGGAAATGCATTTTTTGAACAGTTTCCAAGGAATTGAACGATTAATTTAAATGTACATGTATTGTCGACAAATTAAGTAATGCCATTCGTAAAAAAAAACGTCCAGAATTAGTAAATCGCAAAGAAGTTGTCTCTCATCGCATTTCATTTCATCAAAATTCTCTATGTTACATTATATGTTCCATATATATGTTATGTTATATGTTTTATTATAAGTGGAGGAATATGTTTGGTTATATGTGTTCATTACAAGTGGAGGAAAAATCTTTGACGCGAATCAACTTTTTGGCACAAAGAACCAAAACATTTTTGAGACGGTAAAAAGTAACAAATCGAAATGATCGATATCGAATAAACTTGTCGTTCGAGTATGAAAAAGTTTTGCACGATTTTCACTTGGAAAAAACGGTCACTTGTTGGCCAATCTAACATTTCCACGATCTTATCAGTGTTCGAAGATCTTTCGATTTAGAAATTTGATATGCCAAATTGCAAATGATTCGAGACCGATGAATGATTTTTCAGCTGAGCGACGGCACGGTGTCGGAAGCGCCCCGCCGCGTGGCCATCGAGGGAGGTCCCGGAAGTGGAAGGACCACACTCTGCCTCCGGCTTCTCCACCAGTGGGCGATCCAAGGCGACAGCCCGGCACTGGCGTTCATCGTTCCCCTCCGTGAACTCCGAGGCAGCCCGGTGCTGAATTACTTGGCTCGGGAATTATTCCCGAGGACGGCGGCGATCGGCGACGCGGTGGCGCAAGTGTGGCGCACGTTGCACTTGATGGAGGACCGTGTGCTGTTTATCCTGGACGGTTACGACGAGTGCGTGGGAGGCAGAGGGTCCCTGGGCGACGCGATAGACCTCCTCGAGGGACGTTTGTTCCCGGACGCGAGGATTCTGGTCACTTGCTCGCCGAGCAACTCGACTGTGCTGTCGCCGCTGGTACAAAGGAGGATCCATCTGGCCGGTCTCGAGTGGCCCCACGTCGAGAGGCTCTGCGTCGCGTATTTCATCCACAACGACATCGCCGAGAAGGCCTGCGAGTTCCTCGAAGCGCTGAACGTACAGCCACAGGCGGTGAAGCAGCTCGGTCAGCATCCTCTCGGCTGGATCATGCTCTGCTGTCTCTACCAGGTATTTATCCACGTGTTCGAGTAAAATCAGCATCGATCGCGGAAACAGTTAGCTAGCAGTCAGGAGATAAAAGTGTTGAAAGTTTGCGAGACAAACGCGAAGCGAATGGACCCGATAAAAGCGGCCTCCGGTCGGTTGTTTGCTGCACGCTCTCTCGGATGCGAGAGCTCGCGGAAAACACGTCGGCGCTTTTGAAAACTCGCACTCTTTCTCTTTCTTTCGTTCGCCAGGATTCAGGAAGCTTACCGACGGAGACCAGCGCGCTGGTTCAAGCGGCTGTCAAGTGTATCGTGAAGAGGAGCTTGGATCCACCTGTTCCCTACAACGAGGAGATACCGGCCCATTGCAGAAAGCGACTGGAGGATTTCGGTAAGGTGTCTCTGGCCGCGCTGAGGGAGGGCAGGTGTTGCTACACCGAGGCTGAACTCCGAGCAAGAGGCGGTGGCGTGGAAGTTACCAGGCTGGGCTTCCTGACCAAAGGGCCGACCTTCGGACAGCGACGGAAGCCAGACTTGTACACGCCGATTCACATGGCCGTAGCTGAATTCCTCGCGGCGTACTACCTAACCTCCGTGGCTCAGTACGCTAATATCCTTCGGAGGGAGCTGGAGGGGCTACCGTCGGGGATCATCGGTCATCTGGCTGGCTTACTGGGACCCAAGACGCATTTGATACTGAACCAGCTGTGTCCGCTCGAGGTGCCACCGCGAGCGGTGTTCTCGTTGCTGAAAGCGGCCGGTGCCTCGGATGGGAACATCTCCGCGGTGTGCAGGTTGGTCGGCGCAGGGCTTGGATTCGGTCCAGCGCCCAACGAGAGGCCACCGGCGCCTCTGGTGCACACCTCGCCGCTGGAGCTCGAAGGATGGGCGAGGATCCTCGAAAGTCCGGCGTGCACCCTCGAAGCGTTGGAAGTGGTGTTTCAGGTGGAACGAGGCTCCGATCCCAGATACTTGGACGACTTTTTCGAAGCCCTGGCCGGGAACGAGAGCGTGAAACTCGTGAGAATCACGTCGCTCCTCGGCCAAGAGTTCCCCGCGGACGAGGCGCAGAAATTGGCCGGACACTTGAAGAGCGTTCTCGGCAAGAAGAAGCTGAACGACTTCGAGTTGGTTATAACCTGTCTGGAGGAAGCGGCGCACGACAGGTAAGTGATTTCTCTTTCGTCTGATTTTCAAACTATCACGTCGCTCACCCTCCTGGGAACGATTTTCTTGCAAAGCGTATGAGAATCGCGGAATCCTTCTCGTCTTGGCAATGAGAGAGGCTGTTAAGACGTTTAGAAAAAGTCAAGAGGCAGCTTTGCCAATGGTGAACTACGCGAGTTCCAAGAGGAAAAGGTTTGGCCGCGAACCGCGCACCAACGGCAGCGTTCGTTAAGCTGACAGCGAAAAAACCGTCGAGCCGTTTGCTCGCAAACGTCGAGCAATATCGGAAAGTGGATTAAAAAAGTTCGCCTTCGTGAAGGAAAGTGCGCGCACACGGGCGAACAAATAGATCAGTTTTTAACTCGTAGCGAGAGACCCGTGTCCCGACGACTGCCAGGCAGCGTTCCAAGCCGGTCTGTGAAATATTTACAGCTATTAATAACGAACGTTCGCTCGTCCACGGCGCGAGAAGAACTCCCGAGAAAAAGAACTACTACCACTTCGTTACAGAAGATCTGCGAAAGGAGGTTTTACAAATTTTTAAATGCTCTCTCGCACGATTTTTACGAATCTCGGCCGATGTACCTTCTCGCGACTGACGCTTTTAAACAACGTCTCGTACGCGTTTCTGGAAAATTTCTGTCGCTTCGCGGGCGATGGAAGGCCAGAAAGTAAATTAAAAAGTTTACCTTTCCCTGACAGCGAGCAAGACATTTACCCTCCACGCTCGGCGCGAGCGTGGAGTTCACAGGATGGGAGAAAGAGCGTGTTTACCCAAGGAGTGGAGTAGAAATATACGCGAAGGGTGGCGATGTTGTGCTTCGAGTTTCCATTTGCATAACCGTTCATGCGCGCGCATGTGTCAGATACCCTGGTTTCCAGCATCTTTTCATCCGGTCAAGAAGAGATCGAAGCGCAACAAAAGGCGATTATTTTCGATCCTAACGATAATTCTCCGATCTTTCTGTTCGACTTTTCGTGTGCACACGCGCGCGCAAAATTATTTCTCTCGTTTTCCATTTGCGAAACGAAATCCGAGAAAGACCGGGAAGACCGGTGGAATAAATTCGACGCGGAACCGGAAGCGCTCTAGCTTTATTCCGAGGAGTGACTCTCGGGAAATTTTCAATTCTCTAGCACGTGCTCCCGTGCGGAGGAGCAAAGAAACTCGAGGATGTTCTCCCCCGAAATAGCGCCGAAGAGCGGTTTTTCACGCGTGGCCCCCGTAGCGAAAAAGCCTGGTATTCGATATTCGAGGCACGAGGAGCGCCACACACCCCCATTCCCTCCCCCTCCCAAACAAGAGCAAGGTAACAATGAACGGCCGTCGAGAGGGGTTGAATCGCGACTGTATAAAGTCGCGGCGGGGAGAGAGAGAGAGAGAGAAAAAAAAAAGAAAAGAAAAAGAAAAAGTCGAGAAAGTGGCGGAACAATATGCCACGGCAAGAATAGAGGCGCCCCCGAGATTTTTCCCTCCTTTTCGTGGCGGAGGTTGTTCGAGGGGTCGTGAAGGGTCTGCGCCTCTTGGCCCGTGGCGAAAAATTAAGGAGGACGCGGTTTTCATAGCCGAACGCCAAACACAGTCGCCTCTTCTCTCTCTCTCTCTCTTTCTCTCTCTCTCTCCTTCGTTCTCCATCGCCCTCCAGCGGCTCTACCTACTTTTCCTTCGCCCTCGAGTCTCCTTCCTTTGACTTCCTTCCGTCCCTCTCCCTCGTTTGCGGTTCGAGTTTCGTTTTGTGTCTCCTTTCTCGAGATCGTCCACCACGATCCCGCTTCTCTCCGCCGGCTCTGACCTCCCCCTCCACGCCTTTTCGCCTTTTGTCTCCGGTGCTTTCAAACTTTCCGGAAGACTCTCGCCGAGTTTGCGCGCCAAGACTCGTAATTTTTCTCGCAACGGGACTCTCCCGAGGGGGGGGAAACGCTTTGACGCTCGTTCGTTTGCGAAAAACTTGGCAACAATTTCGAGAGAGTGCAATCAAATCGCGAGGTCTCTTAATCTCGTTCCCTCTTCACTCCCTTCCACCGTTCCCTTTGCGTCCAATTTCTCTGATTACTCCTAAACAAAGTCCCTCTCTACCTCTCTGTGTGCCCTGTTTCCAACTCTCCAACCCTCCCATCACTCGAGGCTCGTTGCCGTTTGCAATTTTGACGTGTCCTCGCGTTCTTTATTATTCCCCGCCGTCTTAACTGGCCCAATATCGGGAGGAAAAATCCCGGAGAAGAAGGGACGTTCAACCACCGTTTGCCCGGAGGCGGTACATCCTCGATCCGGCGAGCTCGCGTCGCCAAAGTGTTTCCTCGCGCTTCTTTCGAAAACCGCCCGTCGGCGCTTCATCATCCTTCACCGCGTTTCACGCGGTTGCTCATTCTTCCGAATGTTCCTCCGGATCTCGGAGCAGAGGTGCTCAGTAGCGGGCTCAGAAATTCGCAGAGAGAACCTCGAATGTGTTCCACCTCTTCGATTGCCCTGCAATTTTCGTTTCCTGACGTTTCCGGTGGATTCCATTCGCGGTCCCGCTCCGGTCCGCCCGATTGAATGCAGGAAGAAAACGGCAGATGGAATCCGACGAGTTGAAAACCGTTCGGGCCGTTCCAAGAATTTAATCGTTCCCCCGGCGTCGTTTTACTTCCATCGATCGACGACTCGCGACGAGAAAAGGATTTTCTTAGCGAGTGTCGCGTTACGAGCTGATGCAACGTTTAAATACCGCGAATCCTCGAGAGCAAAATTCTCGCCAGCGAGAGTGTCCTCAGTGGCTGTTGAAACGAGGAGAGCTTCTCAAACTCTGGGAATTCTTCTCGTTAGAGAGTCCCTTGAAAAAAATGTACGAGCTGTTGGAAAATTGGCCATCGACAGTTTTCCGAATTGACGAAGAGATCATCGTGTTTCGCAAAAATTGATAACCGATATTAACCAGATCTAGTCTATGGCAACCAGGATATGACTGACAGCTGTCGGGAATATGTATTTCGAGCTATCAACGGCCGCGAGTGACGGCAGACGCGACTGGCCAGACACGCTCTCGATTTCTCAGTATAGCAGTGAGAGTCGGAGTTGGTAAATTAATCCTTTTGGTACCTGACCGAAAAATTTGCGCACCTGAGCGAAAAATACCGAGCCAACTTTAGTAACTTAGTATTCAGACACTTAAATAACCGAACGTTATTAATACTTAAACTGTAGCAAAGTCGTGTACCGAGTTCTTTTTAAAGCTTGATATTTCTACTTTCAAAACACACCGTTCAATTTATTCCAATTTATTTAAGTGCTTTTACGTCGCATATCACGTGAGCGGGACAGTGAATGCAGTTTTCTTGCGGGAAATTGTGTAAATTATCATACCGTGTAGAAACGTTGAAGAATTTTTTCACGGCTAAATCTACGATTGAAATTTGACTTGCGATTTTTTGGCCACTTTGAACATTAGGCACAAAACGATAAAATTATTGCGAATTTCCATCATCTGTAAGTGAAACATTCAAAGTTCGATAAAACGATGACTGAAAATTGTACATCAAGTTTCAGGAGATCGTTGTAAAGAAGGGGCTTCAATTTTCATATCCATTGCAGATTCGGCCGTTTGAAAATATTTTTTTCAATGTTTTTGCATGGTATGACAATTTACACAATAATAATAAATAATATTAAATAATAATTTATTATATAAATTACATGTTAATTAATACTACACTTGGAATCCTTATCATATAAATTGTATAATACTATAAAATGCTAAATATTAACAAGTAATATATACATTACCGTTACTTTCACTTTTTACTGTTAATTTGGTAATAAATTTTATAGCGTCTGCCGTGTGGGGCACGTTATTGAAATGTCGATGCACGACTTTGTAACAAATTTTCAAAAAAATTCTTCGTTCTACAATGAAAATTTCAAATAACTTGAACGAGAAGGAAAGTTCATTGCGGGGCGTGGCACGGAACGTGTTGAGAAACGAAGGGGAGAATAAATCAGCAAACGATATATCGTTGCTCGATACTGCAAGGGTCAAGCGTAGAGACGTCCCGCGAGCGCGTAAATCGTTAACGATAGAAATATCGGCCTGTTCACCGTGCACGCGCTGTTTGTTTTGCTTACTTTTTGTTCTATATAAATACAGATACAGCGCACGTGCGTATATATATATATATATATATATATATATATATATATATATATATCCGTATCTATATTTTAATATATAGAAATCACGCTCGCCCCGCGCGATTCGCGGATTTGTTTGATCGTTCAATAAAATCACGTCGGCGATAACGTCGACTGGATATTTTAATTAACTTTGAAAACACAGACCACTTTGTTTTAATTCCGGGAATAACGCGTAATTGAAGGCGACTCTTTGTTTGCCAAATAATTGTTCATGAATATGTAAACGTGAGAGAGCCGCCCGCGTTATTTACAACGACCACGATCGTTTGTTCCTTTTCCATCCACCTCTCGCGGGGCTCGATATGATATTTCTTTCCGAGCCAGAGAAACCAGAGCCTCCTCCTCCTTCCCCCTCGCTTATCGTAAAAATCCTAACGCGAGATTCTCGAGGCTGGCGCGCATTTCTGGAGGAAATCCAGACTCGTTTGCAATTCTCCAAGGATAGAGGTAACCGTGGCTCGCCTTTGTATAACTGTTGCTGCAGCACGTACGCGTCACAAGCCTCTCCAAATAATGGCCAGTCGAGGGAAAAAAGCGAATATTACGCACGCGTAAATTTGACCCAGCCACCTCGATCTGGCTGTCCTCGATCTTTCTCGAACAAATTCGCGCAATTGCTCGGTTCCGAAATTACCAGGGCGATTAACGACTCGCGAAAGAGAAAGAAGAAAAGAGAACAAAAAGCTGCAAGAAAATCGTTCTTCCCGTAAAAAAGTCGTGTTCGACCGAGTCTGAGTGTGTTGATCTTTAATTAGAAGGCTCCGCTGAGGCTGAAAAACTAGAGCGCTCCTCTACTAGGGCTTATTCTGTCGGGCATATTTTCGGCCTCTTTGCCGACGTTTTGCAAACACTGCAGTAACCCGGTATCGGTAGCAGTGTGTCAAGCAGCCACTGACGAAGGGAACTTGCAATGCTTGCGAAACGTTGGCGGGAAAACTGCCAACGCTTCCTTGACTCGTGAAGTCGTAAGACGACCGAGAAAGTAACTGAGAGAGAGAAAGAGAGAAGCAAGTGGGAGGGAAAACCATCAACACGCTCCGTCGATTAGCCCGGTGTTTCTAAACCAAGTAACCGTAACCGCGGCTGTTTAATCCCTCTAAGCCTGGCTCGAGTTCGAATCCTACGGTTGCACGAGTCCGCGCGAGTAAATGAGAACGATCTCGGGTGAAACAGAGCCCCAGTGGCCATCGGTTTAGGCCAAATGACCAATGATTCGGGGCCAATTCCCGGTGTCCCGGTGTCGAATGGCTCGATGGCGTCGAACAACGTCGATTCCAAGCGCGTCGTTACCGAACGAACACAGAGGCTGAGCACAGAGAATGATCGATCGTCCGTGTGTTCCAGATTGGAGTGCGTGGTGAACGCCCTTTGCCGTGGACTGAGTCACGCGTCAACCAGCCTGGCGCGGTTGGTCCTCGACATGAATCTGTCCGGCGAGCAAGTGTCCCGGGTCTGCGATGCTCTTCGTGGCTGCGTTCAAGTGCAAGCGCTGCACTTGCCCCATTTGGGCTGCGGCTGCGAAGGGTTGGCCTCGGTCGCCGAGCTGCTCAAGGAGAGGCCGCTGCTCGCGTTGAACCTCGCCGGCAGCTGGGGAGCCAAGAACGAGGATCCCTCCAGCTCTGGAATCAGTATGGGTAAAACTTTACCGTTCTTTTTTCTCTCTACCGTTCTTTTCTTTTTTTCCCCCTTTCACGTTCTGTTCCTTTCTCCGCGTTCTGATTCTTTCCATTCTCTTTTTTTTTTTTCTTCTTTTTCTTCTTTCTTTCTTTCCTCTTTCACTTGAACTCATCCAGCTGCCTGGCTGGATGAGTAAATTGAAAAATTCTAGGAACCGCCGGCGGCGCTTGTTTATTTCGAAAGCGCGCGGCTCTCGTTTCTGTCTCCTTTAATTTCCGACATTCGACGACGCTACCGTTTGCACAGGCTCCGGCCGGCCGAGAGGATCGTATCCGGCTCCGCACGGAACTTGGGAATATCGTGCACTGACTTTTTAATAATACTTTCGCAACGACGCGTGACTTTCGTTGCTCTTTGTCCGCCGTGAGAAAGTTCCAAGGCGCGGAACCAACGGACAAAAATGTTTCGGAGAATCAAACGAAAGACGAGCTGACGCGCGTGACAGCGAGCATTCGAAGGACAGAGGGTTCGAGAAATTAACGGATCACGGTTCGCCGGTCACTCGATCGGCGAGCGTGAGCTTAACGAAGTCCCGGGGCTTAAGACGAACTGAATTAACGACCGCGCGGCCCCGAACCGCTCGTAACCGTTCAACCGGCCACTGCCGGTGTGTGTTCGATCGACCGATTCGCTCATACCACTCCGATTTCCACTCTGATTTCACACACGGAGGGAGAAGGAGAGGTGGAAGCGCTCGCCGCTGTTTGAAATTTTGATACGCGTCACTTCGTTAAACGCGCTCCGCTATCGGCCGCCATTAAGGCCAATCTGCATGATGGCTCCTGGCACTCTACGTACAGATTCATCGCGAACCGGATGCACTTAGACACCGGAACCCCCGGTGACACAGCGTGGTATTGAAACTCCTGCAAGCGGCAGAAACGCGAGAGCCTATCGCCAAACGCGTGAAACTGTCCGTTTGCCAATGAGATTGGAAATTGTGATGGCATTGCCATTGGAAATTTGTCGAATTATTAGCAAATTGATTAATCTGGGAAATATACGCATACAGGGCGGTCCATTAAATATCTTTTCGAGTTGTCGTGACGATGGAAAAAATATTTTATCAAGATCATTTTTTTGATGTCCCTTTTTTTTTTTTTTTTTTCTAAACGTTCAGATACGTAAAGAACGTGAGCTTGAAAATTTAAGTTTTACCTATAGATTTATATATATTCTATCGAAATCATGAAGACGTTTGCTATTTGTCAATGATCATCTTTTCTAGCAGCTTGTAATCCTGATCAGTGTGAGTCGAAATTTGTCAGTAATTCGTAACAAAATTATGAATTCTTGGCCAAGGTCTGTGATCCCGATACAAGTAAATTTATATGTACGTATATACGATTAATGGAATATTCTTTTTACGTTAGCATTCGCATAACGACAGTGTTTCATCGTTATTTCTAATTATTCATTAACCTCGCTCGACTAGCGCCGCTAGTTGAAAACAAAAAATTCATTCCGCGCGACTTTGCGCGAGCCTCGCGATGAATTTTCAAAGAACTCGCTCGATCCTCCGTCCGGCGTTCAAAGTGGAAATTAAACGGAAAAAAATTTTGCTTCGCGATCCAATAATTGGCTGCATGGAAGGAACTCTCTTTGTGTTTTACGAGTGGTTCAAATTGAACGGACGCTTTATTTCATCGCCTTTTTCCATCGCAGCTGTTGCAGGTTCGAAAAAGTAGAAAAATTCAACGCGCGATTTCTTTCGTTATAACGATCAAAGTTGCAAAGCAACGATAAAACACTATGAAGAGATGTTTGAGAAAAGTGCAAACGTGCTTCGTGCACGGCTTATTTGTTCGCGTTAGATCCTGGAATTTAGAAACGGCAGGGATAGTTGATAGATTAACACTAAACGTGTGACATGGCCGGTTTAAAAATTTCGATTTGAAATTTTCCACTCCCAGAAAAGAAATCCAATTTCTTTATTCTTGTTACATTGCCGTGTGAAATTGACAATTAACTGTTTTCTTTGCTACGTCAGCCGAAAAACAAAACTGCACAGAATCAACGAAATTTTTTTCTAGAAATAAACCTTGAAACGTTACCTGCCGAAAAGAACATATAATGACAGTATGCTTTCGGAATGAAGTTGAACTGATCAAAAGTACAACTAACGACGCTCGTCGGACAAAAACGAAATTCCTAGGTGTACAAAGTGTCGGTTCAGTGTTAAAAGAGAATCATCAATAAAACTCGAATTTTTGGTCGCCGAAAATTGGCGTGTCACGAGTCGTAAAGATGGAGAAAGTAAACGCGGGCCAACGGGCAGGCGAACTGTCCGCGAATTCGTATTAACCGGCCGCGCAACCGGAATTAGAAAGTTGGGATTAGAGCAGTTTCCGGCCCCGTGGCAGGCAAATCGCGCCGCTGAACTTCCCGCGGCGTTTTCCAACTTTATGCCGTTTCCAACATTTGCTCGGAGTTGCACCCGGCTCGAGAAGTACATACACACATACATACATACATACATACGTGGAACTCGTAAGTATGGCCGTCCACCGAAAGGGATATGCTCCTTCGATTTATAAAGCGGGCCGAGCTTTCTCGCGCGCTCGTGATTTATCACGGACAAACGGACATTGGACGGCTGTTCCAATTTGCGTTGGAATTAGTTTCGTCCCTTTGTGAATCGAACGTTTCGATCCCGATTCGTTTGCCTTGTTCCGGCTGACTCCTTCGCAAACATCGCGAGGAGCAACGACGTCAGACGCGGAGAGTCTTCCTTCCCTCTTGCGATTCGATTAAAACGACAGAACAATGAGCGTTCTCGGAGAGAGAGAGAGAGGGGGGGGGGGACATTATCGGCTGAAAGTTGAACGATCGAGGGTCGATTAGGTACAGCCCCGACGCTGAATCCACGAATCTCGTATAAACCTGCAATTCGAGATAGAGCAGACTTTACGATAGATGGATCGTGATCGTTTCGCCGATCCGCCCTCCGGATGGAATCACGGTCGCGTCTGTTTGCAGAAACGAGGAGGAAGTAGGAAGGAAGGAAGGAAGGAAAAAATCAGCGGCAGTTTGAACTGGTCGCGGAATCGCTGGCCCGTTTTCCCCACGAATAATAACAACCCTTCGTCTTCTTCTCTCTTCTCTATTCGAGGAAGATGAACAGCGGTGCTCGAGACCGGTTTATACAGGCAGCTCCGTGCAAACGACACTTTCCAAGTGAATTTCCGCTCGCAAATAACGTATTAATCATCTCCGACCCTCTCTCTGGCCTTTTGTTACACCCTGTCCAAACCCTCTCTCTCTCAACAGCCCCTTAATGTCTTCCTCTCGCTGCCCCTTATCTTCGATCTCTCGTCCTCTCTTTCTCTCTCTTTGCGAGGATGTGCTCCGAGAGAGAGCGATCCTCCTCTACTGTCGTGAGATTTCATTTTCCAAATACCGTTCGTTCGTTGATTGTTCGCGGTGCTTCGTCCCCTGTTTCGGAAATCATTCGCGTTCCGAGTCGTCGAATTTAGTTAATTCTCGGTGAAACGAGAGTTTGAAAATATCTTCTCACATGCTGGAACAAACGTTCAGACAGAGGTGGATCGTTTGCCCGCGAGATCCGGGCAACCACCTCGACGCACATAATCTCGCAATAAGCGTGTAAAACAAACATTTACCGTGGGACAATCGCGTTCACGGGTCCATTCCGCGTCCCTCGAAACGATCCGCAGCACCTCGCTGGTTGGCTCGTTGGCTCCGACGAACGGTCGTCGCCGCGGTTGATGTTATCGTCGGCAAACACCGGCCACCGAGCTGTGTGCATACTACACGCGGCCTCTGGTTTCCAGATTGTTGCTCCTTCCGACGATTACAAACACCTGTAATTCCCCGACGAGAGAGAGAACTCTGTCCCCGGCTCTTCTTTCTCTCGAAATTGCCGATTCAGATCGATCGATCCCGATCTGAAAGTGGCTCGGTTACTTCCTGCGGACGGTGAATCGCAAATTCGAATCGCTCGCCTCGATTTTTGTCGAATTTTGTACACGGCAACGAAACACGATCGGGCGGAATATTTTTTTTCTTTTTTTATATCGGCGATCCTCGAGGACACTCGGGGAACTTCGATCGTTCCCTATTTTCTCTAAACGGATATAACGGGAGGAGATCGAGTTTACTTCTGACTGGCTGAAAGAACAGTCCCTCGGGAGAACGCCCTTCGAGTTTCTACTTCCGAGGTCGAATCGAAGGCAATCTTTCTCGCCGCCGTGTCTATAACCGAGTCGTAGACAAATCAAATCTTTCGGCTTGACGGTTTCTCCGCGGATGCTCGTCATTTCTTCCCTTTTTTTCAACTTTCCTTTCGACTGATTTTACAGAACGACGCGGGGAGTAATATTCCGCCACGGCCAAACATTATTTTTATCGAATTGTTCGTCGAATTCTCGTCGGAGAATTGAATAAACAATCGACGGAAAAGCGGCACCACGTATCGTTCAGAGGAAAATTCTACGAATTCTGGAAATTGCGCGGCGGCGGAATAGTTTTCAATTTTCGTACGACATTGCTGGCATTCGCGGGATCCGGCAAAGGCCGATTGATCTTCGATAATCAGATATATCCATCAGAAAGCTTCGGCAAATGATAGGCTGTAACTCTGTTCCGCGTGGCCGGAGACAATTATGAAAATCCCATTTGCGTTACGTAACCAAGCGTCGAGGCTCGCAATCCATTTCGACATTATTTTCCGCCGAACAGCCTGTTCACCGGTGAACAATTTTACGTTGCAATTTCAACATTGGCAATATCGAATCACGTTTATCAGCCATCTATGTACCTCGTGGATCGTTTTCACCGTGATTCCAGACGCGATTAACCTCGTTCCCTCTCCTTTGTTTAAAGTTGCCCTTGTGTATCAACGATCGCTCAGTTTTCCTTTTCTCGATGCGCGAACTCTCGGCCACTCTCTTTATCCGTCTCGATAAAGTCTGCCCCGCAGCCGACACACGCCTAT